TGGAAGTGCAGCATCTTAACCACTGGACCACCAGGGAGGTCCCAAAAGATAATTTTAAAAAGACATATTGTTGGATTTCAACCTAGCTTATTTAGATTTTTAGCATAACTGTTGTATTGAGGGTTTAATTCAAGTGAGGTCTTGTGAGGCCTTAAACAGATGCAGCTTGGGGATCTTTTTCTTGAGAGAAAGAGTTAAACATTATAAATACAGAGAGCTGCAGGCCCTCTGTGCAGGGGTCAGGTCGGCACTGCGTGAGGGCTCAGTGTTTGAAAGAATTGAAGTGAGGCAACCTGCCCATCCTCCGGCTCTGGAACTTGGCAGTACCGCCAGGTGGCAGTATTGTACCAAATGTGCGAACGTGACCACCAGGGAAGCTGTGCACCGCATCTCAAGGGACATCTGTACCTGAGCTTTGAATCCCATCCTGTGCTCACAACTGCTCAAGGCTCCATGTGTGACATTTCTCTTGCAAAACGATCTGGTTTCCTTCCTTCAAACTCGGAAGGTTTACTGAAACCTTCAGGGTCGTCCGTGCAGGTGACATCAACACAAGTATTACTGTCATGGTGACAAGAGTTTGCTCCTTAAGCTTGTAATACACTTCCCCTCTGTCTTATGGTAATTTCAAGTTGCATTTATGATAAAGCAAAAAGTGTTTTCCATAACTTCTTCCCAAATAATTTTAAGGAGCTTTGGCTCTTCTAATGCTTTTAACCATATTAGACTTTATTTACATCGATCTTCTAGCCATACAGTAACCATATCCCATCCCTGTCCCACTATATTTGACATGGTTTTCAGACACTCACACTAGATCCATGCTCTGGGGAGGGATTCAGTCTATTCATCTAATGCAAATGGGCAAATGCTCTTCCTTCCTTTTCCCATCCCTCAAACCTATTTTTTGTTTGTTTCTTTTTTATCCCATTAAAAGATACCAGTTGGGTATTGGCCACTTTATGACTCAAGTTTTAGGTTTAAAGGCAAAGAAGTAGCTCAGTCTCTAAATCAGTCTCTCCTGAGAGCTGGCCTCAGAATGCCAGTGGGGTTTTCTGTTTATTAAACTTGTTTATATCAATTACATTTATAGCCATTTTGTAAAAGTTATCAAATACAGCATCTTACAAGGCTATATTGAAGAATAAAGAAAAAAACTCTCAAGCTGAACATTTCACACTGTCACATACTTGAAAATAGGTCAGTGAGAATCCTGCTAAACTCAGAAACCAATATTTTAACTAGAATTTTTAAAAAGTTTTTTAAAAATCTGGACCATTCAAATTATTTATTGAATTTGTTACAATATTGTTCCTATTTTGTATTTTTTTGGCCACAAGGCATGTGGGATCTTAGCTCTTCCACCAGGCATTGAACTCTCACCTCCTGTATTGAAAGGTGAATCTTAACCACTAGACCACCAGGGAAGTCCCTCTAACCAGTCTTTTAACTTGCTCTTTATCCCACATATGTGGGAAAGACTATGGGAACTGCCTTCAAAACTTTAAAACTGACAATGTAAGTTGATGGCTGGTTTATGTACAAAGAGTACATGAGAGTCATCCTCATGGATTACATGCATGCTTCTCATTGGCATCCAATTTACAAAATAGGAACTCTTTAATATAAACTGCAGCAGGAGGAGATTTTACAGTGGTTCTGACTTTAAAAAAATAAAATCAGCATGATAGCTAAAGTAGGTGTTCTGACTGTATATCTAATTTTAAAAATCCAATTAACACCAAGAGTGACTGGAAAGGATTTGCCAAATGTTTCTACCAAGAAACTCTTCTTAAAAGCTTCTTACATGAGAAAGATCAGTCAAAGTAGTTTCCATCCTATTCATTAAAAGAAAAAATTTCTAACCACTAAATATTCCTATTAGGAAAAGAGAACAAACTTCTTTGCAGGCTGCAGAAGTCCCCACCCACCCCACAACGTTTGATGCCCCCCATCATTAGCAGGGTAGCTGCCCATTTCTTATCTTGATTGACAGGTTAATACGGGTCCTGGGGCTATCTTTTCAGCAGGAACACACAACCTTACCAATTACTTTTAAATTATTGCTAATCTGTCAGAAAATAACAAGCGTGGGGAATAAAAATATCTAAAAAAGAGAAATGTCGGTTGAAGAAGCATTTACTTCCGGTGTTTGAAAAGGTTCGGTTCAGAAAACTTGCCAGAATTCAGTCAATAGAATTTAGGCACTGAAGGTTTTTTTTTTTTTTAAGAAAAACTTGTAGTTTATAATAGTTCATTGGTTCAATTAGGAGCGAAAAAGAAGGGAGTTTTGTAATGCAATTGTCCAGCAAAGGAAAACGCTTGAAATTGGGGGATTATGTGCACAGACCACCTGTAGGGCATTCAGAGCCCTTTTCTATAAAGCTTCAACTCATGCCTAGCTGCCTGCAGGCTGGCTAACAATGCCGGGAAAAGCTGTTTAAAAGGCTGCGGGCACTTGTGCCTCTGGTCTTCACTAACTGTTACAAGTCTTCCTCTCCCTGGCTCTCTCTCCTTTTTAAAGTAAAAGTCCCACATCCCTTTCATGGAAGAACTTTAAGGCTCCGCGGTGGCCAATTGGTCTGCACGAAGAGGAGCCCGGCCGCAGGGAAAGAAACTTCAGACTATACAGCACATTTGGAGAGGAGAAAAGATCAAAGTTTTTCCAACTCAAAGGACCAAGTTCCCTACAGATTAACCCTATTCATTTGGCTCCTCTTAAAGGAATGATGTGCTGAGCCACTGGGCAGACAGGTAAAAAGTTCAACAATTGCCAAAGCATTCTTCTGCTAATTCAACAGCCTTCTGCTCAAATAAATTAGCTTAGTCTTGACAGAGGAACAATAGCTTTTTTCTCTAGGAAAAGAAGCACATTTGATATACACAAGCCTGGAAGGTTATTAAGATGTTAACCCGTTAGTTTAATCCATTAAAGAGCGCCTGTTCCACCACCGGATTGTCGAGTGACTTACACTGTACAGTGTGATCGATGGCTGAAAACATTAACCTCTACCCTTCAGCAGTGTGTTAGGTCTTCGAGGAGCAGGTGCTTTCAAAATCACGGAGGACGCGAGAAATGAGTGTGGGGTTTGAAGCCTTTAGTGATATTATACAAGATAAATAACAAGGCCGGAGTGGAACTGCGCCTTGCAAAAGTTCCATTTACATCGACTAAGGTGAGTGGTGTCCATGGATCAGAAGAGAGCTATCATTAAAAACACCATCTTTTCGGAAAGGTGCAAAAATCCCAATTTTGATTTCAGTTTAACAGTGATATTTACTTTGCTAACAACTTAGGAACTCGAGTTTAACAGGTAATTTTTCTTCATGCCTAAGGTCAGTGTACATAATGAGAAACCAGAAAACGTCCGTGTTTCGGAGGGGCCCTCCACAAGCACTTTCAAGGTAACAGTTTAGAAGAGGCAGGGGGAGAGGGTGACGGTTAAGTCATTTATCAAAAGTCATTTTATTGACAAAATAGAATACTTATATTTGTTCTTACAGGGGTGGCCTCTAAACTTTTTACAGAAAATGTACAGACTGTATATCTTTGGGTATGTACATATTTTACACATTTTTACAATTTAACAAATAATTATATTTATAAATACATCCTCTAATGTAAGAAACCCGTATTTACTTGGGGTGTATAATTAAGACATTTCTTGTTTGTTTACTTAAGGCATTTGCCTGGTCATTAAGAATACCCAAACCGTGCAATCCCGTTAGGTCGCGCTCATCCCGCCTCTAGGACGTGTTAGGAGTAAGAGTTTACGTAGCAGAGTCGAGGGAGAAAACTTAGGTCCCTCAGGTGAAATCTGTAGGTCTGGCTTCAAGCTCAGCAAATGGCAACCAGAGAGGGCTCCAAACCTTGGGTCTCGGAAACGCAGCCGCGGGGCTCACCCTCCCCTGCCCTGCCAACAGAAATGAAAGCCTGGCGGGAGAAACTCCTCGCCCGTCGGTAGAGGAAAGGGGGGTGGATCTGGGAGGCTTCAATGCCAGGTACTTTGTTCTAAGCGAGTCCCAGCTAATGGATACCATTAAGAGTTCATTATGATGCTAATAGCAATCAACACGGTGAAGGGGTGGAAACCTCGGCCTTCGAGTGTCTTCCTCCCAGCCCCCCACCCCCGCAGCACTCCGTCTCCTCGCCCCCTCCCCATCCCTCGCGGGCGCACCCTCCCCTCCGCTCAGACCTGGGACAATGGCATCTGCTTTGGATAGGACACCGAGCTGGCCGTGCCAGATCGCCACGTCAGGCCGGTGCTGACGTCGCTGTAGAGGGAGCCCGCCCCGCCGGCCCCCGGCCCCCCG